TGTAAGCCATATGAAGTAAAATTTTGGTTAATCCAAGCACTAGGACTTATCTCACCTGCTTTTCCAAAATCTCATTTTCCTGCAAGAGATAAACACATATTATAGGGTAGGGAGTTTTTTTGTTTAGTTGGTTTTGGTGGGGTTTTTGTTGTGGAGTGGGGTTTTTTTAGGTTTTTGTGTTGATTTGGGTTTTTATTTTTTTCTTTCCAAAAATAGGAGCCTCTGCTGATGCTTGTGTATACTCAGACACCTAGATCAGGGACATGTCCCTGGAAGCACAGGACAGCCCTGCTGAAAATCAGGTCACTTGAATAAGTGCCTAAGTACAGATTTACAGGTCCAATATTTGAATCATTTTCTTTGAAAACTGTGGCTTAAAAAATAACTCCTCTTACCTCATACAGATCATTGGAGAGATTTTATTCTGATTTTCACAAAGTACCTCTCCTCACACCAGGGCCCAGGCTATGGTGCCTCAGTTAAAAGGGCTAATTTAAGCCGAAGGTAATACAGAATCCAATCCACGCATATTATCAATGTTCCCTGACCTGGTGCAGGAGGTGAGACTGGTGCCTCCTGAGGGCAGAGAAACTGCTGGACTGGCACTGCACTCACCAAGGGCCTTTTTACAGTTTTCAGATCCCTTTTCATTGAGACCCAAATGGTGTGTTTACCTTCAGAATCAGAGATAAAAAGGATTCAGGGCAAAAGCTGAAATTCAGGACACAGAGAGGAAGCGATTTGCCCTCCACGGCCACATATGAAGGCTTAGAACAAATCCAAACTCTGATCTGGTCACCCATCACTTGATTTTCTGAAGCCATTTTTTAGGTAAATCTTGTACCATGGCATCAGTGAGGTCCTAGCAGTTTTTTTCAGATGAAATGTAAATATTGTCCAAGTCAAGGAAATCTCTTCTAATAAGCAACAGTTCAAAGCAAGGCCTTGTCTATTAGATTATCCCATTTTCTGCCCTTTCCTTTTGGGTCCTGTAATCCACATTTCATGACACACAGAGAGTTGACTTTTATACTTGCGTACAGACTTGTCCATGTGCACCCTTGTGTGCTGATGCTCTTCTGCAGGGCTGTGCAGCACCCCCAGCTGCTGCAGTGAAGGGAAGACTCTCTCTGAGCCCCCTGCACTGGCGGTGTGCCCCCCAGCCACTGGGAGGCTCCTGGAATTTTGATGAGTTAATCTCATCACTTTATCACAGGGCACTTACAGAAATTACAAGGAGCTGTGTGCAGTTCACTGTGCTGGCAGCCAGCCCCAGGACCCATAAAAGAAATTGAGACACCAAAAAAAAAAAAAAAATTAGAGAACTTCGTTAAAGTTTTGGAGACTATAGTTTTTCTTGGACAAGTTCTGCTTGGGTAATGCTGATTATGCCTTCCCTGGTGATGTCCCTGTTTCTTGCAGTAATGGCAGGTATTTAGGCTAAGTGCAAGGTCCTGCACCTGGGTCGGGGCAACCTCAAGCACAAATACAGACTGGGTGGAGAATGGATCAAGAGCATCCCTGAGGAGAAGGACTTGGGGGTGCTGGTAGACGAGAAGCTGAACATGAGCCGGCAATGCGCACTCGCAGCCCAGAAGGCCACTGTATCCTGGGCTGCATCAAGAGAAGCATGGCCAGAAGGTTGAGGGAGGTGATTCTGCTCCTCTACTCCACTTCAATCTTGTGAGACCCCACCTGGAGTACTGCATCCAGTTCTGGGACACTCAACATAAGAAGGACATGGACCTACTGAAGTGAGTCCAGAGGAGGGCCATGAGGATGATCAGGGGGTTGGAGCACCTCTCCTATGAGGACAGACTGAGAGACTGGGGGCTCTTCAGCTGAGGACAGGCTGAGAGAGTTGGGGCTGTTTAGCTTGGAGAAGAGAAGGCTCCACAGTGACCTTACAGTGGCCTTCCAGTACCTGAAGGGACCTACAGGAAGACTAGGGAGGACTTTTTTCAAGGGCAGGTAGTGATAGAACAAGGGGTGATGGCTTTAAGCTGAAAGAGGGTAGGTTTAGATTAGACATTAGGAAGAAGTTCTTCACTGTGAGGGTGGTCAGACACTGGAACAGGTTGCCCAAGGAAGCTGTGGATGCCCCGTTGCCTGGAAGTGTTTAGGGCCAGGCTGGATGAGGCTTTGAGCAACCTGGTCTAGTGGAAGGTGTCCCTGGTCATGGCATTTGGGTTGGAACTTGATGATCTTTAAGGTCCCTTCCAACCCAAACCAGTCTATGATTCTTTGTATTGCCCCCAGCTGTAGCTCTCAATCCATACAGTGCAGAGCTTGTTTGAGGGCCTGATAAAAAACTCCATTTACTTTGGCAGCATTGTCTTGTGTGAAGAGGGTACGGTGGGCCTCACCTCTAGCATTTGTGCCTGTAGAGAGGGCTGTAAGACACAGTTGCTGGTGCTTTTTTCCTTAGACTGGGCACAGTGTGTGGAAGTGGCACATGAGCCTGTGTTCAATGTGAAGGCAATAAGGCATGCTGAAGGGGACATCTCACCAGTGCTGGGTGTATTTTTTCACCTGTGCTTATCAGCAAACCACATGGCTTCTGCACTACGTGATGGCCAGTGCTTTGCCATCCAGGAAGGGGAGCTTGCCCAGTGCCCACCCTCCTCTGGCTCTACTCCTTTAACAGTTGTGATCCCAGTACAGAAGTGCCTTTGCGAACTGCTTACTCAAGCTGTACACACAGTATGTGCATACAGTAGGTAACCAGTACCTACTCTGACACCATCACATTTAGTTGTAATGTAGGTTTTGTAGACAGTTTCTAGTACTTTGCTTGTCAAGGGGTCCATGGGCTGGAGGCATGGGGAAGCTGGGGAATCTGCTTGACACAGTGTACACGGACCTTGAGCTACCAGATGAGGACTGTCACTGCCTCCACTGCTATGCGGGCTCAGTGCTCTTGGTGTAGTGTCTCTGTGTGAGGGGGCAAATTTTTGTCCTTGGGACTACAAAACATGAAATCTTACATCTCTCCAGAACTCTGGTTCTGGCTTTGATGAGAAAGGTGTGCACTGAAACTAAGGCAAAGCCTTCCAAAGGACTGTGTTTGAGTTTTATCCCAGGTTTGTTCCTGTTCTGTGCCCCTATCTGATCGTGAGGTCAGGGCCTCCGTACTTATGGGTCTGTAATGTGCTGGAGCTCTGTGTCTAGAGCAGGAGTTTTTTTATTACCTTGAGATCAAGCCTGAATCTCAATTTCCAGCTCTCCGAGAACCTTGATACATTGTTGGCTATTGAAATTCAGGTGCTGCACAATGACAAAATACAGTCTGAATGGAAGCAACTTGTGCAGCACACTCTGCTCCTGCAGACAAACTGCATTTTGGGAGCAGATGAGCAATGGTGAGGAATTTGGTGGCTGGGCTGGAGCTTAGGGGCAAGTTGCAAGTCTTGTGACAAAACAAGAGGCAAGACATAGAAGGTTTATAACTAGCAAGCAGATCACCTTTAGGCTTTGGGGGTTATGTGCTCCTGGGGTTTCACCCAGCATGGGCTAAGCACAGTGAGATAAATCAAATGGTTCTTTCTACCTTTTGAATCTGTGCTCTGTCTTTCTACTCAGATTCCCAATGGGCTTTCCAGCCACTTAGTTAGCCCCAAGGTCTAATCACCAGCCCCAGAGACTGGTATGTATCAGATTGTTGGTCCTCATTTAGAGGAAGGAAGGGTCTTGCACAAGAATGTAGAAATCTATTGCAGAAGTAGGAACAAAAATAAAGTCCTTTCCCCGTGCTATTAAATCGTAAGCTCTACTTCTAATCTGATGGTATACGAAGTACACATTGTGTGTTCTCTCAGCTCTTACCTACACTCCTCCCTACAGCTCTGACTGAACTCTTGAATCTCAGTTTCCTGCTCTAAACCACCAAACCAACTTTTCCATTCTTCTGAACTGACTGTAGAACTTAGAAATCCTTTTCAGAACTGCCTGACTTACCCAGTAGCTAGACTGCCTTTAATGTGTTGTCATTGTCAACACATCACTGCTGAGCTTAGAATTCCAGTCCTGCTGCACAGCAAACATTGAATAGCCCTCTTCAGAAACATCACCTCCAAAATGAATGGCAGGATGGAGACAGACATTTCTGTTTGTTGACTAAATAATTGTTACATTACACTGTAAACCATCATAATTCCACTTACATCCTCTTATCAGACCCTCACATCCATGTTTCAGTTACATTATTGGTTTACGATAAAATATGATGTGACCAGAAATAAATTTGGGATGCTTCTTTTCCTGTTTTGTCTTGGAGGCAGTGTTGTGAAGTGTTGTGAGATGATCAGAAATGAAAGGGAATGAGGAAAGAAATACTGACGCTCTGTGCAGAGGGATAAGAGGCAAGCACACAAGGACTAATAAAGTAAAACTGGAAAGATTTTCATAGAGAGCCTGTGTTCATTTTACAGGACATCTTCCCCATCTTTCTCAATCCAGACCTACTGCTTCCCTGCTACCCATAGTATGCCAGCTGGCAGAAGGAAGCGAAGGAGGAAATGCCATCTCTGAGCTTCCTGGTCCCTCAAGCAAGGCAAGAAAGGACAGGTGACATCCATCCCACTGACATGGATCAAGACTAGCAGCAAGGGGAATGCTGCTAATGTCTGATCTGCTCCCACGCTCAGCCCTGAACTTCAGGGAACAGGCCAGGTTATAAAGGATGCAGCACAAGGGATGATGATATGCCTGGAGGACATGTTGTGCATGACAGCCCATCATTGCAGTCAGCCCCTGGGATGGACAGGGTTCTCTCAATGCTTAGAGCAGTATTGCTTTTTTCTGAAATGTGTTCTAATAAGTAGTGCTGAGCTCCCTAAGAACCATCATCAGCCAGCTGTGGTCTCATAATATGTGTGTGTGCAAATGAGTGAGCAAACATACAGACTGGTGGTGGTGGGAATATCTGGGCATTACAGCCTGTCCCTGGATCAGTGTGGAGAATGTGGTTCCTGGGTGACCATCTCTGTGTTTGATTGCAGGGAATATTGAATACAGCTGTCCAGCCACCAACGAATGCGAGATCACGAAACGGAGGCGCAAGTCCTGTCAGGCCTGTCGCTTCATGAAATGCCTCAAAGTGGGGATGCTAAAAGAAGGTAAGACAGAGTCAGACTGAGAATTGTTCTCTGTCCCAACAGCACCTGGGACTCCAGACCTTGCAGGATCTTTTAGACTTAACTACACACTTGCCCTCTCTGGCTTTCCAAAGGTATCTTTTTACAGGCTTTGTAAAAGGGTCAGGATGGGCAGTGACCAAAAGGGCAGAGAGGAGAGTAGATCTAGTCAGCACCCTTATGCTAGGATATTACTTCTAGCACTTGCAGATTTGACAAGTAACTGGAAACTGGCCGTGCCAGACTGTTCCCTTTCCCAAAGGAACCCCAGGTTGGACGGTGTTGCTCCTCTTGCCCTCCAGTCATTTTGCAGTGTTGGGGAGGAGAGGCTCTTGCGTGATCATGACTGGGCTGGCTGGGCTTTGTAAGGGAAGGATGGAGTTAATGCAGAGCTATGGCACAGTGTGCAATGAAGGTCTGCCCATATTCCCACTCAGGAGGCTTTCTGAAGATGGTGGGTAGCACAGGTTTGTCTGGGAGCTGTGGGTCCCCTGCCCTGCATGCTCAACCTGCGTTGCGCTCAGCCTATCGATCTGTTCAGCACACTTGGAGCAGTGTTCAGCTGCTCTCTTGTGCTGCTTTTCCTTCCCCCCACCCCCCCTCCCCAGTCCTTGTCCATTCAAGGTGAACCACAGGGAATTCAGTGGCAATTAAACGCATTCTTATGGATTTACTTTAAAGCGTTGTTTCCCTTGGGTCCTTCTGGGAGAGGCACTGAGGTGAAGAGGGGGAAGAGAGGAGAAGGGTTGCATGTAACCAACCCCCTGTATTACTGTACCTGGCAGAGCATGGTCCCTCGGCTTAACCACAAGGAACAGCCGCTGGCTGTGGTCTGTGCGAGTCCTGTATGCTGGAGCCAAGATGCCAGCAGGCAGCTTGCTTCCAGGTCATACCATCATAGCAGCTGCTGATGAATTGTACAATGTCACTTGAGCATGCATTGCTTTGCACTAGGGCTCTTTCACTTCTTGAGAGGCAAGTTGATGGCAGCCAGTGTTGTTAAGAATGTAGATTAAATGTTAAATCCTGTTCTGTTCTTTAATGGATGTGTAGTTTCTGTGGTTAAATATCTTCCTGCTAGAGCACACCAGTTACCAAGGGGAGGAGATGCAGACTTGTGTAGTCTTGCCCTCCCTGACCTAGGTGTAGAGGTGGTAGACTCAGAGGATCTTGATCCACTGCTGGGAAGGAGGCACCTACTTTTGGAGTTAGAGAAGGACCACTGGAAACCTGCTTCTCTGCATCTGGTAGTTCGGGGACACTGGCTTTAGTGGGAGCACTGGTAATGCACTCTAGCCTGTTTATATGGATCCCATAAAACAACCTTAAAAGCCTGATGTGTCTCCAGTCATTCTGCAGAGCAGCAGCATGGGTCCAGGCTCGCGGGCTGCCTGTCTGTGCTGCATCCAAGCAGTTGAGCCTCTCAGAGCTGGCAGCTGGGGGAGCAGAGTCACAGGAGCTGGCGCTGGCGTGTCTGACTGTGTGGCCAGTGCATCCTCTGCTTCCACTTCTGGGAGTTCAACACAGACCAGAACAGAGTCTTGTGAAGGGTTTTGTGGCTTAACCTCCAAGTTGTGTGAAAACAGTTAACTCCTTCCAGACCAGAGTTGGGCTGGAAAGCAATGTACGTTCACTTGCACCATGCTGTGCCTGAACTCCTGAACCCCATGGGATACTACTCATGGCAAACTGAAATTTGACTCTTAAGACTGCTTTTGTACTGAAGTGTATTTATTTATTCATATAGGGATTGATTTGGCATCATTAAAGCCACGGGGGAAGGGTGGTTTGCTATTGACGTTAGTGTATCTGTGATTCTGCCCATAATATTTAGAGCTGTGGAATATACAGTATAAAGATTTATTGATAGTAATAGGATGCAAGAACACATGACCATATTAAGAGGAGCACAGGAGACTACACTAGAAATCTGCAAATAGGACTCCTGTGTCCTAACACAGAATGGTCAAGAGGTGTTGGGCAGGCACCTTTTTTTCTCTTTTCTTTTGCTCAGTTTCCCGAGCTGAGAAATAAGGGTCATACTGCTTTGCTTTGCAAAAGGATTGTGAGGACCAATTAGTTAACTTTATGTGAAGCCTGGTGGAAGCACAAAGTATGAGTATACAGAATTAAATCAATACACATCTTTAAAAGCAAAATCCAAAAAGGGAGAAAAATTGTTTTACAGTCTTTGGTCTCCACAGAGCCAGGAGTTTCTGGAAAGAACAAATCCATAATTGTTTGACTTGCTCAAAAATGCAGAATTGACATGGGATTTTGGATTAGAAAAGGTTCATTGGTCTTTTCCATCTCTAATCTGTCATCCTATTAGCTCATCCATCCCTTTTCTCTGCCAGGGAAGGAATGTTCCCAGCTGTACCTTTATACTAGTTTAACTGTTTTTAAAAGTCCCTGGTGTCTTGGTTTCCCCGGGGAGCCTATTCTGCAGTCTCCAAGCACTCGTTAGGACAAGATGTGTCTTGATACTTGAGCTACAGTTTCTCTTCCTTTCAGTAGTTCCCCTTCTGACTTTGGTTCGGTGTACCTCTCTCTTCTTCCTTGGGTTCATCCATGGTAGAAGGTTGCTAAGCCAGGTTCTTTCTCCTTCTTGATTACCAGGAGTTTGGGAAAAAACAGTCTTGTGGTTAAAAACAAGATCTAGAAAACTGTTTCTCTTTGATGTCCTTGGCGCTGGGCTGGTAACCTAGTGGGGACATTTGTGGGTAAAAAAACTGCCCTACCTCTAAAGAAGAGTATGATATTGCATTAGTACCTAATTAAGGGCTTAATGATTTCTTCTCATTAAGGGAGGAAAGATACATGATGTACATACCACCTCCTGCCCACCGGGCATATGCATGAGCCTGTTCTTCAGGCAGAAAGCACCAGTGTTCAGAGATGGCAAAAACAGGTAAGCACTGCTTGAAGCTTGAAATACTCTGCTTGATGCTGCAGAAGGGACTCCTTGGGGAGTGCATGTGGGGGTCATCAGGCATCTTCTCTCCTCCATACGCAGGCTGCAGCTAGGCAAACAGCTGTGAATGTGGTCCTTTAAGATCTGAGGAGACTGCCCCTAACACAGAAGTGCAGGTTATTCAAGCAATGCCAAGTGAATGAGGATCAGGGCAGGAAGAGAGCCGATGGAACAATCAATAGGTGTCTCAGATATCCAGGCCACTTTCTTTAAGAGAGCTCCGATCAATGCATTGCAACGAGGGAACTACACGGACACCAGAGCTTTGCTGTCTCAGGTTCTCCTGGCATGACGCTGCAGGGCAGGCGAGACCCGCTGGGGAAAGCAGCAGGCGGAAAGCTCTGCCCATGGAGCCCAACTGGCTCAAATGTCTGAAGTGTTGGCCGGTCTGGCTGCCTGTCTCTCACTTTCCTCTTCCATCTGGAGCGCTCCCCCAGAGAGCACTAATTAGCCCCTCACTAGCAGGATCAGATGGGAAGCTGCTGAATCTGGAGTCCAGGATTCCAGCAGACTCCAGTCCCAGTGCCTCTGTAGAGAGGCACCATCCCCAGAAAACCTGTGCTCTGCTGCTCCTGGCCTTGCTGAAGCACCAGCCTGAAGGCAGCAGGAGATGAGGCATCTTCACAGGTTCATCCAGTAGAAGTGCATGCCCCCCTGTTCTGCAAAAATCAGGGAAACCTGAGCAACCTGTGATACTGCCATACCCAAATGGAGAACATATCTTCATTCCTGCCTGACCACTGTGGATGGCCAGTGAAGGAAAGCATGCCCTGCAATTCGCAGAGGAGAGGCATCGTTCAGAGCTGGGCATCCCTGTCTTTGGCCACCCTATTGCCACTCTTTGCTGCCATCACTGTCTGTTTTGTGCACACAATGACCAAAGAGTAGTTCTTTAACTCTGGGCTCTACAAAGTAGATCTAGATCTCTCTGGCTCTCTAGAATGATGGATAGAGAAATTTCAGCCATTTGGCAGATGTCTTTTAAAACTTCAGTATACCTTGTCAGTCTGGGGGAGAATATACCCTGCCATTCACACTCTAGCCATCCTTGGCCTTTCTGTTCTAGAGCAATTTGTATGTCTTCAAGAGAAAGATGTAATTTCATATGACATGTGGCTTGTGTAAGTGGGCTCAGAGGTTTGATTTTGGACATCGGCTGGTTAAACATGACCTCACAGCCTTGCCCTCCACACTTCTGCTGTCTCTCTGAAGTCACAGTCCTGTGTGTCACCTTGCAGAACAGCACCATGATGAGGACAGTGATGTCAGTCCTCTGTGTGTCAGTGTGCCCACCTGGTGCCCTCTCACTCACTCTCCTCAGCAGGCAAGGGGTACAAAATATGATGAAAAAGCCGTGGGTCAGGATAATGACAGGGAGATCATAGAATGGATATCTGCACTACTGTGGTTCTCCATGGGCTGCAGAGGGACAATTTGCTTCACCACAGTCTTCTCCACAGGCTGCAGGGGAATCTCTGCTATGGCACCTGGAGCACCTCCTCCCCTCCTTCTCTGACCTTAGTATCTGCAGGGCTGTTTCTCTCACATTTTCTCATTCCTCTCACAGCTGCTGCACAGCATTTTTTACCCTTTCTTGAATACGTTATCACAGAAGCACCACTAGCATCACTGATGGGCTCAGCTTTGCCTAGTGGTGGGTCTGTTTTGGAGCCATTTGGAGCTGTCTCTGTCTAACACGGGGGCAGTTTCTGGTGTCTTCTTACAGAAGCCACCCTTGCAGCACCCCACTACTAAAACCTTGCCATGTAAACCCAGTACAGTCAGCTCATGAAAGGGGAATGTTCTGAAATCATGGGAAAGGGATGGGGATGATAATTGAGGTATGATGGGATATCAAGGCCTCTCATTACAGAACTCATCTTTGGGTGGAAATGACAGACAGGCAAGCAGAGGAGAGGCATTACTGGACATAGCAAACCATACCCTACCAAATGGAGCAGACTGGCTGCTGTGTGGGCATTGGGTCCTTTACTGTTGTGGAAGCTCT